CTGCCAATCTTTTAATATTACTTTGCACTTAGACGGAGCAAAGCACATACCATACTTACAGACACTGATCGCCAACTAATTAAGCGCGATTTAACCAGCCTGCATGCTATCACACGGTAAGATGATACCGTCTGTTAAAGAGAAATAGAGAGATTGGGCAACCCTGTCTAACCCCACTTTTGGTTGGGAGCAGTGATGATAGTTGGTTGTATGGCATCACTCTACCTGAGGTGTTTCTGTATATAGCCTTCAGAATGTTCACAATTTTATTAGGTACACCTCTCTCTAACAAACAGTTGCTGAGTACAGTTTAGTCCGACAAATCGAAGGCGGCCCTAATTTCAAGAAACACAAGGATTATTGGCCTACAATACATGTCACAGTGTTCCAACAATTGAAGAGGGATGAACACAGGATCAAAATATCCACGGCGTGAACGAAACACAGCTTGTTCTTCGTGAATCAATACTCCTCACGTGTTTTGCATAGCCTGCAAAGCAAGACAGTAGCCAATATTTTAGAAGCAATCGGTAGCAAATTAATAGCCCTGCTGATTGTCTCACGTATTACGTCGATCCTTTTTTTAAAGATAAACACATGCAGGGTGAATACACATGAGAAAAAGTCAAACAAATAGAAGTTTAAGTATTGGTTTGTAGGGGTTTGATTGATTGGTTACAGGATTTCATCATGAGCTGACGTTGGTTAGAGGTCAGCTCATGATGAAATCCTGTAAGCAATCAACCAAATCCCTACAAACCATTACTTGAATATCAATGAGATGCTCACTGGCGACTGGCCCTATTCAGGTAGGTAGTTATCTGGGGTTCCAGTGGGAATTCGTGACCAGTAGGGTGCAGCATGTCGGGTGTGAGGACAAATACTCGCCGAAGACATTGGCTAGCGGTTGCACTATATCGTGAATTGGCAGAAGTTAGAATTCACAGGTTGGCCATTGGATCGGGTTCCAGTGGCTTAATGGTCTACGAGCTCGCCTTGTATCCAGAAGGTCCTGGGTTCGAACCCCTGTGGTGGGTGTGTACTGATGAAGAGTCACAAACTAGGACGAAACAGCTGTTCAGCACTCCCAGGTTTTCCAGTGGTTCTCTAACCAATGTCAGCTCATGATGAAATTCTGTAACCAAACAGAAGTTTATTTCATATATAGACACATGAGAACAATGATCGTATATAACACTTTGTAAAAATGATAAGTGAAGCGAAAACCTATGTCACCGCTGGATCCGACCCCCCTCCTGCCCCCCACTCTCTCCTTGTATTTATCATAACAACTGTGAAACGTTATTTCAAATCGGCAGCTAATTTTTAGGTTTCATAGAACCCATAGATCGTCTATTTGAACACTAACTTGCTCCAAGTCTCTATCTATTGTTAACATTCATATTAACGCTACAGTCAAGACTACCAGCATGACGTTATCGCTGAGGATGTTGTTAAGAAGAACAATGGAAACTTCACAACTTAACCATCCAGCTTCAAAATCACAATAACACCTAAAATAACATCCATAAGAGGCTACAAATCTTCTGTATTACTTCAAAATCAAGACCAATTTGTATAGTATTTTTTAGAGAAAGAAATAATATTTTCTACAGTTGGTTTGTAAGGACTGATATCAGTTACAGAACCACTGGAAACCATCAGCTGGGAGTACTGGACAGCTGTTTCCTCCATCCCTAGTTTGTGAATCATCGGCAGTACTCACCCACCACAGGGTGTTCGAACCCAGGACCTTCCGGTTACAAGGCAAGTTCAATGGTTCTTTAACTGATATCAATCCGTGATCAACTCGTAAAATCAAAACTAATCCTTACAAACCAACTATAGAAAATTAATCTGATGCTCGCTAGTAACTGACTTGCTACAGGACGGAGTTTCCTGGAGTTCTAGTTGGAAGTCGTAACCAGTGAGGTCCATCCAGATGTCACGTGTGAGGATGGATGTCCCACCGACGACAATGGTTGGGGTCGCGCTAAATCACAAATTGGTAGAAGTTAGAATTCATGGGCTGGCTGGCCATAGAGGAGTCGGATCCCAGTGGCTCAGTGGTATACGAGTTAGCTTGCCTTGTAACCTGAAGCTCCTGGGTTCGAACTCCCTGTGGTGGGTGCGTACTGCCGATGAGTCCCAAACTAGGATGGAGGAAACAGCTGTCCAGTACTCCAGTGATGGTGGTTTTCAGTGGTTCTCTGCCTGATATCAATCCGTGATCAACTCGTAAAATAATATTTTGTTTTTTTTTCTTAATTTGCCACTTTAAAAACATTATCATCAAATCAATATTATTGCAAAAATAAAACACAAGAGTATATTAACCCAGCTTTTAGAAGAAATTTCAGACTGTCTATCTATCCATCTATTTATCTATCTTTCGAACTAATAGAGGTGCGTGTCTACTTCACTTATATATAACTTATATAGAAGGATTTATACAATGGTCATTAAGTTACACTATTTGTGTTTATATCTAAACCAGCGCCGAGTTCAAACCTTCTAAACAAGTTTTAAAATCAAACAGCATTGAAATGAATACTAATCTCTCTTCTTTCACTAATTTATCAAGTTACCTGGTGTTATAAAACTTGTCCATATTAAGAAAGAGAAGAGTGAGTTATATAATAATAATAATAATCTACTTTATTCCAGAAACAGTACTTATAATACAGAATGGAATTCTCAGCATTTGTCACAATATTGCATATGATTTACTCAAAATATAAATAAAATTAAAAATTGAAACAAAATTAACCAGAGGAATTTGTCCACATTTACGGTATAAAGTCAAAAATATTCGAAGCGCGAATTGAGCCAAACCCTTTTATTAGCTCAGTGGCTGGTAACGTCTCTGACTGCAGCGCTCACTGGATGACGCGGGTTCGAATCTCCTCAGAAAGGACATGAGTTCCTTCAAGGCAGTTGCAGATATGCCTTGCTGACTGGTGAGTGTATCCACAAGATGACATAGAACACAAGATTGACGTTAACCATGCTTTCAGGGTCATTTGCCGCATACCTAGGAATCTGAATTTTGCCTCAGAAGAGTTCGACTACTAAATATTGCTGAGGCTGTTGGGATTCATATTAACAAGCCTAATTTGTGCATCCAAAAGAAGTTAGTTCAGACACTGTCCTTACCCCGCTGGCCATCTAGGTTCGAATGATCCTCAATTTTTGTGGGAATTTCCCTAATTTTAGTTGATATTCTATTCGCTACTATATCTTTTTTATTATTATAATTTAAGCATCTTTAATGAACTGTAATTCCATTGTGATCTTACTTTACAAATCGATATTATTTAAAAAACGCCAATATTGTTATTGACTACTATTCTAGAATATTCTTATATATATATATATATATATATATATATATATATAATTGTAGAGCCAGAAGAGGAAATTATCGAAACTGATGGACCCAGTAGATCGTTGGATTCTAATAAAGTACCTGGATATCAAAGGTGCTCAGTAAGTAATATGAAATCGCCGGTTAGATCCCAGGCTGACTCGTAGATGTACACTGTGAAGAAACAGCTTTCTAGTTCTTCCTGGTGTGGTGAGAGCTGGCTGCTAGCCAAAGTTGGTAGACAGTAATTGACGTCAGTGTTTATGTCCCCAATATTGGTGGTGAGAAAATGAGAACAAAGGCTTTGCGTAGGCGGATACAGTTAGCATATGGATGATCTGACACAGCCACAAAGAGATGCAAGGTTAACTTTCTGTGAGAAACAACCAATCAAAAGACTGTATTTTCTGCTAACAATAATCTATAGTAATGTACATGAAAAGCTATAAATATGTGTTGATTTTCTTAATAAACGATCTGTTGGCTGACCCTTGTCTTCTGTTGTTACACTACGACCTCGTCTTGTCACTGGAAGGTCCTTAGTTCCAACTCTAGCGGTGGGTAGGTAGGTACGTTACTTTTACTTTACTTCGGCTATCTCCTACGGGAGGATGAGCCGGCTTCATGAACATCTCGAATCATCGCTGCCTAGGCGCGGCGATCTGATGCAAGGTTTTGCGACAGGGTTATCCAATTCTTGTTCCACAGACGGAGTCCGTAGACGGTTTGTAGCCCCAGGCACTCCATATCAGCCTTGACTGTACCAAGCCATGTTTTCAGCTGTCCACCCCTGCGACATCGCCAAGATGGTAATGGCGAGGGATTTAGAACTGACTTAACCAGATCGTCATCTGGTCGGCGCAGAACATGGCCAGACCACCGAAGGCGACGTTGGTGGACCAGTACTGGAATTTGGTTGAGAGTCGTTTGTAAGAGAGTTCATGAAGTTTCATGGGGATTTGGAACGAGTGATGTCCCCAGAATCACTCGGCCTTTTGTTTTAGAGTGCAGCTCTAGCCTTTACACAACCAAGTGTGACCTACAAGGCAGTAGGAGTGGAGTAGGGAGTCCACTATCCATTGGCAGCTGGTGACCGGAGTTCGGTTCATACGCCTTTTTGAATGGGGCCAGACATCCAGGACATCCAACAAGTCCTTTGTCCATACGTCTGCCAGTGAGCTCCAGTGAGCTTCATACGTCAGTCGTTGGAGGTTTGGAATCAGGGTTTAGCCATCTCCCCTAGACTGTCATCCAATGGACAGTCGACCCGGTGAAGAGCACCGGGCATCCGCTTTCACCCTCTCACTTTGGTGAGAAACACCTCCGCCACGTGAAGGCAGTGAGTAGGACTTCCTCAGGAGGGGCTATGTGAGACGCCCGTCATATGGGAGCATTTCAAGAATTGTGCGGAAGGGGTGGCCAACCCGCAGCGCAAGGCACCCACCCCCGACCATCCTGAGGCTTTGGAGGCTGATATCAATCAATCAATCCATCGTCAAAGCTGAAGCAAATCCCTAACATTCCGTCAAATCAGCAGTGAGTGACACAACGCATTCTCTCAAGAAATCACAGAAAAAGGGAATTAAAAAATTCACAATCAAGTTCTCTTTTATTTCTACTTTCTTTTAAAAATATAATTAAAACTGATTCGATGTGATGTGTAGAGATGAGTACTGACATGTACAAATGGAGATGGTCTGTGCGTAAGTGTATGTGTGGGTGCGTGTGTGTGGGGGGAGGCACACTAATAAAACAGTCAGTGTTTATCAAAAATTATGTATCACAAACAATTTACAGAACTGAACAAGTGAAGTTAAGTTGAGGGTGAGAGAAAGAGAAAGGGAGATAGAGCTGATGGTGAACAGGTAGGTTTTGTTCATATCACACTTGACAGTCTCTACAGACTGATGATAGTCTTCACAGAATTGATCAGATTTTGAGTAAAAAAAGAAAGAGGAAATATAAATATATATAAGAGAGGAGGAATTATCGAAGACAAAAGTCTCTATGATAAACATGAATTATTGAGTAATCATATCAAAGACAAAATAAGTAGTAAGTTTCAACAACATGAAAAAACCAACCAGTAGATTGTTGTGTAAATGAGATTAAAGGACACACAGCAGAACAGAACAGAACAGAACAGAGCAGAACAGTACAGTACAGGACAGGGTAGGGCAGAGCAGGGCAGCTATGAAAATCTCTGCCGTCAGCTGACATAAACATTATGACTGATAACATTATCTGTTGTCCCTGAATTATCTATCCCTGTGTCATTTTGATTCAATGATTCCGCTTCATTTCTTGATGAATTGATCAAATTCAATGTGGCATCGTTTTGTTTTAATTTTAAGTGAATAAACAGAACACAAGTTGCATGACTCATAACATTGACAACAGTGCGCAATCGATCACTGTCAAGAAAGAAAGAAAGAAAAGATATGCAAGTTGTTTTTTGATAAATCAATAGGATTATATAAAAAATAATTAAAAAGATTGGTTAATAATGATTCATATATGTCAAAACGAAGTTCACTTTAAACAGTTTGGGACAAAATTTGGGCATTGGGTATATGATATTCATTATAATAAAGGTCTTTGTCTTTTGTATTTCCCAATGAATGAAAAAGAGCAAAACGATAGTGTTGTATTCTTTTACTGACGTTTCTCTATTTAATGCTGCTGCTAATAGCTTTATCAAAGTAGTATTATTAAACCAGAATTTACAAAATCCACTCAGCTTATATCATATAACAACTTAATCATCTTTTTTTTACCATAGGGTTATTTTCGCCTTATCAAGTTGGCCAATTGGTTAAGATAACAAAAGCAGGTGTAGATGACTGTTGGATTTGATAAGTGTGTAAAATTATAAAAGCAGCATGTGTTTATATAATGAAATTGCTTATCAGTCATATTCGTGTTGATTTTGTCATTTCATGGGAGACGGTAGGGGATGTTGTAACCAGGTCCAATTCTGTTTTAGTCCATCACTCCTATTCAGAAAATTTGATCCCACTTGATATGAAGTGCTTCTGATGATATGAGACGTTCTTTGTGATTTCTGAAATCTTTCTTCTGAATTATTTCAATATTGTCAAAATTAATTCTGTGGCCTGATTCTATAGCGTGTAGACCACCACCGCCTATGGCTGATGATTTTTCAAGTTTCTTTAGTTCACTAACTGGATTTCTCGTTGGTCGAACAAATGCCCTGCTCTACGGTGTTCATTTCTTCTGATTTTGATTTCTCTCTGGCGATATTTGTCCGATATATATCGCATCACATTCCAAGCAAGCATTTTATTTTATAGACACAATCAGACAGAGAATCTTTATGGATTTGGTCTTTTATATGGACAAGGTTGTTTAGCAGTATGTCTGATGTTTTGAAGGAAACACTGCGAAACCACCTTGTCCATATAAAGACCAAATCCCTAAATATTCTCTATCTAATTGTGTCTATAAAATAAAATGCTTGCTTGGAATGTGATGCGATATATATCGGACAAATATCGCTAGTGTGAAATGAAATGAACTCTGTAGAGTCGACTCTGTTCGACCAGCGAGAAATCCAGTTAGTGAACTAGAAAAGCTTGAAAAATCATCAGTCATAGGTGGTGTTGGTTTACACGCTATAGAATCAGGCCAAAAAAATAGATTTTGACAATACTGAAATAACCCAGACTTCGTTACAAAACCTCTACCGTCTCCCATGAAGTGAAAAAATCAACACGAATGTGATAAGCAATTTCACTATGTAAACACGCACTGCTTTTATAATTTAGCACACTTATCAAATCCAACAATCTACACCTGGTTTTGTTATTCTTCACCAATTGGCCAACATGACAAGGCGAAAATGACCCCATGATGAGGAACGATGATTAAGTTGTTATATGATATAAGCTGAGTGAATTTTTTAAATTCTGGTTTAATAATACTACTTTGTTAAAGCTATTAGCAGCAGCATTAAATAGAGAAACGTCAGTAAAAACAACGATATCGAAGAAGATATTCATTTCAGAAGATTATGAAATGGTTTGTTTTCAAATGTATGTTTACTGGTAGTTGAATAATGCGGAAGACTTTGGGGAGCTAAGAAACAGGAATACGTTGGACGATCGATAAGAAGATTCTAGAAGATTTGGAATATGCGCGTGGATGATTTACGTCTACTGTCACACAAACGCGATTACAAACAGGTGAAAATAAAAACAAAATAGCGGCAGAAGAAGCAGACAGCAAAGAAGAAACTTCTAGTAAACATAGAGAAGACGAAGGTGATGAGGACAACTAACGGCCACCACCACCACCAACAACAACAACGACAACAAACACCATTCACCTATCAGGTCACATAGCATCCTTTCAACTACAGACAGTCTGAATGGATGAGAATGTCAAAACTAGTCAGGATCGCAAAAGGCATTTCAGACCTTAATCAGCCTGAGATCAGTCTGAAAGTCTGTTGCAGTAATTATAACGAACGAAATTCGGGTTTTTTTCAAAACCAATGTCAAGTCAGTCAGTAAGTCACTTTTTCTATATAGGTCAGAAACTTGCCAGTGAGCGTACATCATCAAAAGCATTTAGAACAGGTGGCTGCAGGCACCTTCGCTGGCTCCATATTGAAGACTAAATGGTCAGGTGGTCAGAAAGAATTAGGAACGAGAAACTCTAGAAACGAGCCAATAAGGAACTAATTGATCAAAAAATATCCTGAGGAAATTGGAGATGTATCGGACACACAATGAGGAAGAGACCGTCGGGTGACATCGCACTCCAGACCATCGTTTGAGTGGAACGCGAGTAGGGAACTAGTTGGGCGTTGGTTCGATGGTAACATGGAAGAGTTTGTGTGAGGAGGTGATGAGAGACTTTGGAAAGTCGTGGCAGTAGCTAAAGAGCACCACAAAGAATAGAACGAAGTACAGATTTGCTGTGGAAACCCTATTTTCCAGCTAGCACCCAAGGAAACAGTAATCATAATAAATAATCAAACGTGTATAATCCTTACCGCTGATAGAAAACTCACGGTCACATGTGCAATGTGATAAGTAAAAAATCTAGCAACAAAGTGACATATGCTACTCACAAGATTTGTCAGTAGTATGTGGATGCCGATATAAACATGTATATCAACTGCAAGAATATAGACTAGCGGAGAGGTAGACTGAATGAAGGATGCTTGGAAAACACGGAAGAAAGACCAGGGAGCACAATACGGAAGACAAAGCAGCATAATACCGAAGATTTCTATGAAGTGGGTTTCAAAGTTCACGTCAGACTTATTTTGCCTATATTTGGGCATCGGGTCACCAATAAATAATTATATTACAATATCCTGTCTACTGTATGAAAATCAACAACTTTACGAGATAATGACTATACACACTTAAGCAAAGAATATTCTCTTTATTAATGGGGTTACCACTAGGACCAATTCTAGCCGATATATTCCTTGACAAACTAGAGAATGGGTCTTTGGAAGATGTAATTGATGAACTAGAATTCTACTGTCGGTTCAACGATGATACATTTTTGATTATGAAAAATGAGGATGAAGCAAAGAACATCTTTGTTGGCAAATTTAACGATGTTCATCCTGCAATATGTTTTACCATCGAGAAAGAAAGAGACTCCATCTAGTATTTCATTGTTAGACGTCCTTATGACTAGAGAAGAGGACGGTGAAATAAGAAGTGTATATAGAAAACTAACACCTACTGACTGCCAGTATACTCATTTTTTCAGCTTTGTGCCCTTGAAATACAAAGGCAATCTGATAGACTGTTCTGTCGACAGAGCAACAGCAATCTGCTCCGATGAACGTCTGAATGAAGAACCAAATATTATTAAACAGTTGCTGACTGAGAACGGTTATCCAGAAGAATTCATCGATAAGAATATGAATCAAAATTCAAGGCAAGCAAAAGTAATAATAGTTCCAAAAAAGGTCTTGTTCTAACAACTTCAGGTCCGCCTGGACAACATCAGTGACATATTAACACAACACCTAAGTAATACGGCCGTAAAAAGAGCATTCCTTGCTGCTTAATTATGCTGTGTCTTCAAAACCACACCTATTTTGCGTTCGGGAGTAAAAGGTGAACTGCCTAATTTTGCCTCTTCTATGTGTGTGTGTATCGACCGATTAAACTGCTCTTGTGCAGTCAGTTAGTTACATAGGCCATACAATTAGGCGTGTTTGGATTTCCGAAAATCATTCTGCGTTGTTGGTTAAGTAAAGGACAAACCAAATCCATTCACATAGCGCTTTTCTATCTCATCTTGTGGATACAGAAGACAAGATTGTTGTTAACGAGGCTTTCAGAGTCATTTACCGCATACCAACAAATCTTAATTTCGCCTTAAGAGTTCGTTTAGTAAACATTGCTGAGGCTGGCTGTTGAAATCCCCATTAAGAAGCCTAAAGTGTACGTCCAAAAGAAGCTAGTTGGTTCAGACATTGTCCTCACCCACTTGGCCATCTAGGTTCAAATGATCCTCAATTTGTTGCTGTAGTGATTTCTTTAATTTTATTTGATATTCTATTTGCTATTATAATTTTATTATTATAATTATAATTTATGCATCTGTAATTCCATTGTGATCTTACTTTACAAATCGATATTATTTAAAAACACCAGTATTGTTAATGACGACTATTCTAGAATATTCTATGTATATATACATATATGTATAATTGTGGAGCTTGAAGAGGAAACTATCGAAGAGGATATTCTTTATATTATTATTATTATTGTATCCTTTAATTCGTACAGGAACATAGGGCTTCAGCCGTGCGTCTCCATTGCCTTCGGTTCTCTGCTAGAGTCTTCACCTGGCTCCATGTCTGCCCACACGTTTTCATCTCCTCTTCACATGACCTCCTCCAAGTCACCCTTGCACTGACGACCAACTCGCCACTTCCCTTTCGGGTTCCACTCAAGGGCTTGTCTAGTGATGTCACTTGATGGTTTCCTAAGAGTATGGCCAATCCATCTCCATTTCCTCCTGCCTATTTGTTTCACAATCGGTTCCTGGTTGGTTCGCTCATTGCCAGCGATCCCTGTTGCTGATCTTTTCTGGACATCTGATCTTGAGTATTGAGCGAAGACAACTGTTAATGAAGGTCTGTAGTTTGTTTGAGATGCTCTGCATGACGCGCAGTGCAAGTCTCTGATCCGTATAGTGAGTAGCACTGACTTCACATTGGAGTTGAAAATCCGGATCTTATTTTTGATGCTGAGTGTTGTTGACCTCCACACAGACTTGAGAGTAGTGAAAGCTTGTCTTGCTTTTCCGATTCTTGCTTTGATATCCTCGTCAGTTCCGTGCGCCTGAAGTTGAAACGTTGCTTCCCAGGTAGGTAAAGGAGATTCTTTATATATATCTTTAATATTTGTCTGAATGAATATTTTCGGCTACATGAAAAGTACTTTAACAGTCAGATAGTTCTAAATAGTATCTCTCTCTCTATAAATAATCACATGTTTTAGCCAAATAGGGAGAGAGAGAGAATGTTAAAATATTAAGTTATACTGACCTATGAAAGATATATAGTGGATGTCTAACAAGTTAAAAAAAAAGAATTTTGCACACAGAAGACAAAAAAAGAATAAAGAAAGAAAGCAAGAAAGAGTAGAACAGAATAGAATAAAAGCGCCTTACAAACAAACTTCAATGTGACATTGAAACTAATTAGTATTAAATGTTCAAGGGCTGTTGTCAAAGAGAGATATTGATCCATTCACAATCTACTGTTTATATGCATCATTTTATCAATTTCTGTGTGCCAATAATTTTTGTTAAATAAAGGAATCTTAAGATAATTAGAAATATAGTGTAGAATGTATTAATCCATGTTAGAAACAGTAGAAATTTTATAATTACATATAATTGATTTTATTCCTTTGCATTCCAGGTGGAACATAGGACTTCAAGTTTGAGCTGTGAAGTTCTAGTAGAGGCGGTGTTGTTGTTTTTACGGTGTGTGTGTGTGTTGGGGGGGGGTTGCTAGCCTCACGTCAAAACTTGCCTTCTTATCTGGCTTACAACCTACTCAGGGACGGGAGTCAGACGGACGTTGGTAAAGGTTTGCGCCGGCCGGAAGTTAAACCCTGGACCGTGTGTGAAAGAAAACAATGCTTTGCACGTATTTCATTTGTTTATTTGAATAAATCCACTGCATTACCCCGCCGCGAGGTGTTTTCCAGCATAGTATAGTAAACATCACAATAGATGTGTAACGACAGAAGAGGGTCAGGCAACAGATTGTTTATCGAGAAAATCAACAGATATTTATAGATTTTCATGTACATTATTATTAGGGTTATTGTTAGCAGAGAAGCAACGTCTTCTGATTGGTTGTTTTCCTGCTGAAGGTTATTCTGTCATCTCTTTGTTACCGTTTCTTAGACAGTTCGTTGATATATATATCTGCTAATCGTATCCGCCCACGCTAAGTCTGCTGTGATTGGTTGGTGAATTCCTCAAGGTTAGGCCTTGTTTTTGTTTCCTATCCTGACCCCAATTTGGGACGTAAACAATGACGTAAATTGGTGTGAACAATTTTGGCTAGAAAACAGCTGTCACCACAGATATTATAGCTGGAAGAACATCTTTAAAACAGGCAAATATAATATCTGATTTGCTGATTACAGCATTCCTGTAGGCCTGTGATATAAAATCAGCTAACTAACTACCTGAGGAAATTCAAGTCGTAACTGACTGCCTTCCTTCTACCTATACATGTGTACTGAAACGAAAATGCGGCAATTTTGACTTGCGACAGTATATACCTTCACAAGTTGGTTTGTAAGGAATAGATTTGTTTTTACGAGTTCATCACGGATTGATATCAGTTAGAGAACCATTGAAAAACCTGCAGGGAGTACTGGACAACAGTTTCATCTTAGTTTATGAATCATCAGCAGTACGCACCCACTGCCAGTGTTCGAACCCAGGACCTTCCAACCAGTCAATTGTGAGGATGCATTTCTCACCGATGACATTGGTTGGTGGTTGCGCTAAATATCGAATTGGGAGAAGTTAGAATTCATGGTCTGGCTGGTCATTGAGGAGTCGGGTCACAGTGGTTGAATGGAATACGAACTTGCCTTGTAACCAAAAGGTTCTGGGTTCGAACTCTAGTGGCGTGTGCGTACTGCCGATGATTCCCAATGTTCTGGTCACTGAGGAGTCGGGTCACACTGGTGGCTGAATGGTATACGAGTTAGCTTGCCTTCTAACCTGAAGGTCCTGGGTTTGAACCCTGGTGGTAGGTGCATACTGTCGATGATTCCCAAACTAGGATGAAACGGCTGTCTGGTACTGCCAGCTGGTGATATCAATCCGTGGTCAAACTCGTAAGGTATAAGTAAAAATTGGTAAATAAAATAAAAATCTGAAGACTTACGCAATAAATTCGACAACGAAGAGAAGTGATATCGCTGATTCAGAAAGATTAAATGCACGTGCTATCAGGATGACGGTTATAATACTTGCACTTGGAATTGCAGGTAACGCCATCACATTAATACCAGATAAAAATCTAAAGTTTTTTGTTTTTAGAAAAAAAATTGACAGAAATGATGAATTCACACATATTGAAATTTGAATGAGATAAAGAATAAGAAATAAATTGGATGGAGGATTTCATCATGAGCTGACATAAGCTAGGGCACCACTGGAGTACTGGACAGCTGTTCTCACAGTCCTAGATTTGGGACTCTTCGTCAGTAAGCACCCACCGGGGTTTGAACCCAGGACCTTGTAGTTACAAGGTGAGCGAGCTCGTAGACTATTGAGTCACTCACTGGGACCCGATCCAATGGCCAGCTGATGAATTCTGACTTCTGCCGATTCATGACATATCGCGACTATTTCGCAATGTCTTTTTCGATGAGTTACTGCCTCATCTTCAACCTGCTGTACCGTGAATTGGCAGAAGTAAGAATTCATTGGCCATTGGATATGGTCTCAGTGGCTTAGTGGTCTACGAGCTCGCTCACTTTGTAACCAGAAGGTTCTGGATTCGAACGCCGGTGGGTGCTTACTGATGAAGAGTCCCGAACTAGGACAGAGGAAACAGCTGTCCAGTACTCCAGGAGTGGCTTTCCAATGGTTCTCTAACTGATGTCAGCTCATGATGAAATCCTCCATCCAATCAAGCAAAATCCCTACAAAACCAATACTTGAAAATAAGAAATAAAGTTTTGAGACGGTTATGGATGAGAATTATGTGAAAAGACTGCTGCCAGTTGTAAGGATGTTAAAGAAGGTTTCAGCATCAAAGGACACTGACTATTGAAATAATTATTGAAAATATATATGGTTGTTTTGTATGTGTGTGTACATTAAATTTGTCAAACGAAAATACAGTTAGTAAGTTCAGATGAATTGGATGTTGATATAAGAGGACAGTAACAAAAGTGATAAGTTGTCACAAAGGATTATTAAAGAAAAGTTACGTAATAACAACATGAATAGTTTGACGAAAGAGTTGTGTTCATAGTTTACATGGAAACAAAATAACATACGGAATTACGCAAGAGTTTTAAGTATTTAGAAAAATAAGCAAACAAGCAAAAGTTAAGTGAAATCAACAGAGTTTTTACCATGATTGTAGAAGTGGTTGAATAATTTTCTTTTTTATGTATAGTTCTGGTTCTTCCAACTGAATGGCAAGGGCTTCTGCAATGCAAAGAAGACGGAAACATATCGTCTTTGGCAGGTTGTTCTTCACTTTGTAGATTACTTTGAAGCAGGAGGCATTTGTTGAGATGGAATGACCAGGGGTGACGAGATGTTCGATTATTGCACTCCTTATACGACCACTACTTCCTTTCTGCAGCCATGCTATGGGATAGTGTTCTTTGACCCTTTTTGACAGGATGTGCGTCGAACGACCAATCTACATGGCTCTACAGCAAAAGGTGAACTGATATATACACACAGAAGTGGTCAGATGAAGGTTCTTATCCTTGTACACCCTCAGCACAACTCTTTCATCAAACTATTCACGTTATTACGTAACTTTTCTTTAACAATCGTTTGTGACAACTCATCACTCTGGTATCAACATCCAATTCATCTGAACTGACTAACTGTATTTTCGTTTGTCAAATTTAATGTACACACACACGCATACAAAACAGCCATATATATATTTGCGATTGTACAGGTATGAAAATGAGTTCATCGCCGTAAAGAGACTCTTCGCTGAACTACTGGTCTTCTGTCTATTAATGTTCGAATGGGAATTTTTCATGAATTATTGAAAAGCTGAATGGATACTGTTTAGCGGTTTATTTTGTTGCTTGAGACTTCTATAGGAGATAGAGAAAAATTACTTACTGACAAGATTAAATGATGATTGTGCTATACTACAGGATAAATGAAAAATGGGTCATACAGCGTATTGGATTCTGAGTAGTAGACTCCTTTGAAGATAGTTGGTGGATGGTGACTAGTAATGGAATCCAGGATAACGCGCATTTCGTCCTATTCGGGACTCGTCCGCCAGCTGGATGTACCTGCATTCTTCAGTGAGTGATGATGTTCCCACCGAGGCTCTAACCCAGTGGCCATAGTTTCAAACGCCAAAACGTTATCCACTAGACCACTTGGGCCACGAGAGCCATTGCCTCTTGTGCAACGGGTCATAATAATTCGAGCCTCGGTGGGAATATCATCACTCACCGCAGAATGCAGGTACATCCAGCTAACAATTCCCAAATAGGACGAAATGCGCATCCTGGTGGATTCCACTGCTAGTCACCATCCACCAATTAACTTCTAATTACATGCCAAGATATCGTCGAAGCATTTGCACAAGAAGCCGACATGTCAACCTGAGACCGAGTACTTCGGTTCAATCAATCGATGGGAAAATGTAAAAGTGAATTAAAAGTAGACTCATTTGCCTGCAATTTTTCAACCTGGTTAGGACTCTCGCCGACCATGCACATGGTCCGGGGTTCGATCCCCTGCCGGCGCACACCCGATATCTATGGTATGCCTGAATTCAGGCAACCGATATCCATGCTGAAAATTCCATACTTGTACTGAAAATACGGTGTGGAATCAAGCTGTAAATCAAAAATAAAAATAAAAGTTATGGGATTCCTTATCAGAGAGGAATATATTGTCGAAAAGAAAAAATGTCAATGCTGGAGACTAAGTAATCTTTTTGATTAAGTCCTCTCTCTCAGAGCTGGTTGATTTAATTGCGAAGCTGTCGTTGTCTGTCATTCTAGACAACATAGTCAGCGCAGACTTTAATGTGTGGTGAACTTATCGGAATTCTCCGTGAATGGGAGATATAATTATGTATCTCCTGGCTACCACTGTCGTCACTGGCTGTTGTTAATTTACATTGGTCATCATTCTAATTGACTTGGAATTTGAACTTTCTTGTCATGTGATTTGCTTCTTATAAGTTGACAAATTTGATGTATTGTAATTAATGTGTGTTTTTCAATCGCTCACCGATTCATCTATGAACCAGGATTCTAGAAATTCCCTGACTGCAGTTTTGGTGTTTCCTCTGTTTGAAGTTTCTACATTCTCCCAATCATCCAGTCGGTGTTCATAATTGTCTACATGCATTGATATGAAAAAATTTATATAGCATGTCTTTTTACAGCCAATTCGTGTTCTTGGATTCGGGATTCGAAGGAGACTCACACTTTGACCGATGTGCAGAGGCCGAAAAATATCAAATTGTACGTTCATAGTAAAAATAATGAATTCACTGCACATCATGGTTGTTAACTGAGATTGAATAAGGACACAACGTGGTTCAGCGCGGAGTACGGACGACACAACTTCCCTCCTCAGCTTCTTGCTTTCCACTATTGCCAATCATCTATGGCTAGTACCTGATCCATGCATCCAGATTCGGATCCTTTGCTTCAATCTCCTTTTCTCTCCACAAGTACCCTCGAGCTGTTGGCATACTCTTACGTGGAGTGAGCAACTGCATACCAAAAAAGGACTACTTCATCAATACAGTTCTATACGTCTTTACTTGTGTATTTTGGGAGAATTATAACTCACCAAATAAATGTATTTTATATATGTATATTAATTTGTGTGGACTGAATTCCCCTCTACATACCTACATATTTGTATTTGTTCTGTCGTTTTTGTTCATGTATAAACAAGCTTAACCGTTTAGTCCAAAACAGATGTAATGATAACTGCAGTCCATATATGCTATTTATTTTGTAAATGGTATTAATTTTATCTTCTTTTTCTGTTGTATCTTTCGGTTTGCACAATATCGAATAAAGTGATTGTGCTGGCTGGCAGACTACTTGGCTTTTGTGCTATAAGCATTTCAAACGGTCTTAATATTCTAGCTTTTATTTCAGAGATAATTTTTATATATGGTAGAATGAATTTTCTTGTGATCTTTGATGTTGGCTTTTTGTCGGTATTATAACGCGAGTTTGAACACTTTTTGATGAAATTGTGAGGGGGATATGCATTCTTTTTGAAGACGGTTCGTAGGTACATTTTTCCTCCATTCTCTTCAACACTGGAGTGGTGCTACAGTGTGTTTGAACTCTTTTAAAAAATGTCTGCGCACACAGTTTCTTTTGTGAGTCATTGGGTTATTGGCTATTACAGTTAAATATTTGATTTCTCTATGTGTGTGTGCGTGCTGATTTTCTGTATACTTGTGTTTCTGAATTCCCCGTGTTATTTCTATTGATTAAGACATCTAAGAAAGGAACAACTGTGTTGTCTAATTCTTCTTCTCTCGTGGTGAATTTAATGTCTTCATATATAAATATTGCTGACTAATTTGAAGAAGAAGATGCTTGCATTTGCAGAGGCTTGTGCAATTCGAGTTTACAAACCAGGTCTCTGTGTACAAAAGGAGATGGTCGTGACTCTGAATCTACCATGGTAATACGTTTTACTTGTAATTCTACCTGTTATTATTATTATTATTCTTGATTCGCTTAAAACTATCCTTTATCAGTAGGATTATGTTAACTCACTTCAACACTATTATTATTATTGTTATTATAACTATTACTATTGATATTACTGTTTGCAATTCTTGTTATATTCTCTAATGACTAATTGTTTATCCAAGTGAAAAAATTGAAGAGTATCTTAATTTTGATCTCTCATACTCGCTCTCCCTCCCCTTATCTAAATGAACATGACCTGGAAAACATTCGCACCTGTCTTTCTGCATGACTAATTCAATGTAGTTTGTTTACTTATCAGTCCTATATCTCCCAATGTAACTTCAAAAGTATATATCCGTGTATGTAGAGTATTCAGCTGACGAGTTCTACCGAAATTTGATGAATTCATTAAATCCTGCTGTATTAACTTTTTTGTTGCTTGTTTTAAATTCGTATCGGGAAATAAATGTTTCTAATTTGTCGGTGTATTCTAAATCATTTCTCTTAATTAGCATGAATGTATCATCAACAAAAAAGTATCGATAAATGCATGCGGGTAATTATGGACACCAGTTTGATGATTGGGAAAATGTATAAATATACACACAAAATACAGTTACTT